CCTGAGACTTTTAGAGACTTATTAAAAGTCATTAAAAGTCTCAATTGAATACATGTAAACTTTTCAGAAGTCTTTAAAAGTTCTAATTGAATACACCAGAATTCTAAAAGTTTTAAAAAATCTCTAAAAGTTGCAATTGAATACAACCCCTTAATTCCCACTAACCAAACTCAAGAATCAAGATGCAAACCAATGCAAACCAAAGCTTTATTAGAAGTTAGAATTGTAAGCTGAATTATGAAAAAACAAAAAAATAAAAATAAAACAAACACACCACAAGCAAGTTGAGCAACTACATTTTAATGATACATACAACATAAAATTTGTTTTGAAAAATACAGCTACTCACAAAAATGTCCATTCTCACCAAAAAAAAACAAGTTCAAAAAGGCGATTATTCGAAAGGAAAAAAAAAAAACCATGGAACCCCATGGGGCAATGTCCGAACACCCCTTCAAAACGAATGCTTATACAAAATACACGCAAACTCACATATCGTTAAGGATTGGTGTGCTAGGACATAACGCCATGGGGTAGCATGCCCTAAAGACTGTCTGATATATTATAGGTCTAAAAACGTATCTATCAAAGACCGGAGAAAAAAAAAAAAAAAAAGACCAGCTTTAGGAGAAGTAACTTTCGACATTTTCATTATTATTGTTACGTGGTGTACCGATGTGGATTTTCACTCGGAGCTTTCTGCAAGATCCGTTTTGGAAGAAACCCATGGAAGTGAGTAAACCCAGGGATGTGAGTGAGATGTGCTGCTGGAAAAAACAAAAAAGAAAAAAGAGGAAAATGAATGTAGCAGCTAAATTCGAGACAAAATCGATAAATAATAATGTCTCTAGTGAAAACATAAACTAGAATCATTTTTTTTTTTTTCTTTTTTGTTGAACAATAACTAGAAAAACTCACTTTGATTTGGACATAAATTTTCTGGCTTCATCAGTTGCAGCACATGCAGCATACACAGCCAGTTTCTTCACCTGCAAACATATCAAGATTTAATTGAATTCATTTTAATGCAAATAGTTTATAATCACCAAGCAGATTATTATTTTTATAATAGTACAGCTTCATATACTTTATGAACCCGAAGCTATTCTTTCCACCACATTAATATTTGTACTTACAAAAAGAGTACACTTCTTTCCGAAGGGAAACTTAGGATATAGAAACAAAAATGTAAATAGGTTGTTTGTAATTTTTTTTAATTATATTCTGTTATTAACTATTCTTAGTAACGGTAGCAGAAAGAAGAAATCTGGCAACTACGTACCTCAAGAATATCTTGTTTCGATCTATGGGTATTAGGAAGCTTCCGGAACTCTTGTGTCAATCGGATGCATTCTTGAATATTATCAGGGGAAACAAAGTCCACAGCAACTTTAGTGCATGACTGGCAAAATTTATTCATATAGCAGAATTTCAGAATACTAATAATAAATGCAGTGATAAAATTATAATAAATGCGAATAAGTTGTATATATCAATTCAAAAAAAGATCTGTAAAGCGACTACTATTTAGAAATTGAATTATAATCAGTGTAAAACAGAGTGATTGAAATTATAAGAATAATACAGAATCATCGTCCATTCAAACCTTTGCCAAAATGCACACCAAAAACATTTATCAACAAGTACATATTTTCTATATGAAAATAAATAAGAAAAAGGTAAAGAAAGAATGCAAAAAAAAATTAAAACAGAATCTCTAACATACACAACTTATATTAATCCGAGAGCTCACCTGTCGATTTCTCACTTGATGAGGACAGCCAGCAGGAATGAACACAGCCTCACCAAGATGTTGCTCGAATGTCCAAGCTTCAACGTCTAATTCAAAGATAATAATAAGATTTCTTGCTAATTTACTGCTTGGTTACTTATTTACATACACAATTATGCAGGGATGGATAAATACATAAAAAAAAAAAAGAGGCTTACCAAATTCCTCCTTTAGTTGTCTTTTGTGCTTCTCATCCAAATAAAACACCTGGTCATGGATAGGATGCACGACCTATAGCCAAAAAAAAAGAAAAAAAAAAAACAATAAAACAAACAAATTGTATAATTTTTCCCTTTGAGAAATATAGTCTGTGAGAAAGTTTACTCACATTATTTATTCGAGAATTATTGTGATGACGAAATTCTTCCTGATGCTTTAGCAAATACTCATTTATTTTGGGCACATCTTGCCGTCTGAAGATGTCCCAAACGGCAGCACCATATCCAACTCCCGATGAGCTTTCACTATCATCTTTAGCTTTTGCTTTTGCTTTTGCTTTTGCTTCAGCTTCATCTTCACATTCGCATTCTACTTTTTGACGGGTAACTTCAAATTCCCTCCTCAACTTCTGAATCACTCTTTTCTGCCAAGAAGATTTTTTCACCTTAGTTGTGTGGGTCAATATGTTCACCTGCAACAATAATCCCGCACATTTAAAACATGTGAAACATATTTAAAAAAATTATGACTTGTAAAAATGATAATTATGAAATGATAATGCTGTATGAAAGATGTTTTCAATTTTGAAAATTTAGGGTGTGATTGTGGTTATAAACTTCACGAGAAAAAAAAAATCAATCAAAACTCAACTTTAACTCAATCCAACTATCCTCAATATTATCAAGATAATTTAATAATATCAACTTATCATTCTTACACTGTTACACATCACAACAAATTTAATTCACTATTCATTTACTCACATAATTTTAACTAACTATTAATTCCCATCATTTTTCTCCTACTTTTACATCAAATCAACTTTAATTATTTTATTTTAAATAGTATTTTAATTTAAACTTAAATTCCCACTAATAACTAAATCATACCACATTTTTTCAAAATTAACTATAGTTAACAAAAAAACTAATCACATCCTTAGTTATATTTTCATCACCTTACCGCATCAGAGATGTCACAGTGCAGTTTAGCAACCGAATCACCATTCCCAAGCTCTTCTGGAAAACCGTAGGCAATATACGTTTTAGGCCCCAAATCTGGCTTCAAGGCACTATCGGGTAGCTTCGTAGCAAGATTTAAGAGGCCCGATTTAGGATGTGTATAATCACAGAAGGGAAGCATAGCCATAAACTCAGAATCGTGTCTTGGCAAACATTCTCCGAATAAATTTGCAGGCGGCCAGTCCTTTAACTTCAACATCTCAGGCCATCCATTTTCATGATTTCTCCCTTCTAAATATCCTTTGAAAAATTGGCGGATATTGATCTCCACCTGTTATACAAAAGAAATAAAGGATTCTGGATTAAGTTAGCCATGTATTCGGTTAGCTTATAAGCTTTCTGCATTCAAATAAGCTTCGTTTGGTTGGACGAGCTTTTTTAAAAAGCTCGAGCTTATATCATAAGCTTCTTTAGGTAGCTTTTCAAGTAAACTCGTTGAAAATTTTATTTCAGCAATCAGCTAGCTTATCACCTATTTTCACCAAACATAGCCCTAACATCTATTTCCAAAGACCAAACCTTGTAAGTGACAATTAAAAACAAAAGAGGGTTTGAACAAAGTACCTCACACCAATCCAAGCAATCGATAGCCTTCACGGAGAAAGTTTCTTCATTTAATCTTTTGCTCGCATTCTTAAAAGCCCTCAACATGACCATCGGCTCCCAACTAAGACCAGAAGCCCCCGAATGCGAGTCTCTAACAATAACAGGTTCACCTCTCCTCCAATGCATCTGAAAATGTTCGAACGAGCCATTTCTCATATCGAGAGCATTAGGACAGTACACAAAGTTATCTTCACCGTGTTCTCTGTGAGCTGCTTTTCGCACTTCGGAAAAGTCATTTTCGACACAAAGAGAACATTCGCGAGAGATGCCTACATCTGGAAGATGGTAATTCAGAGTAAACTCATCTGCTGTAGTAATTAATTTTTCGACTAAATTAGGATCTAAAATGCGCTTTAATTGCAAATCGTGAGTTCCTCCACAGCCCCCATATTCTTCGGGAGGACACGGTATTCCCCCGTTTTTCATAGCTTCCCATTTGGGGATTTGATTGTTCGTATCATTTGAGCAACTTTTTATTCTGAGTTCATGACAACAATCCAGACAGACATCATAGGAACAAGAGGCACAACTTCGATGGAAATTGACGATTGATGTCTTGCAGTTATCGCTGTTGAATAAAAAAACAGAAAAAACAGAATGAGGCATTTAGTCTAGTGTTTAATACGAAAACAACAACAAAAAAAAAAAGGATTGATATGTCCATGCAGAACACATAACAATGAGAGATTAAGTAATGCGTAATAATATTGAGACACGATCAACTATTGTCCCTACTCAACAAACAATAGAACAAAATGAGTATATTGGCACACAGCTTTCAAGTTAAACTATGGTAAAAAAAAAGTCTCTAAGATGAGGCCCTTAAGCATTTCTGGTAAAAAATGGGAGAAAAAAGAAGTATGAATCTCAATTATAGCAAAATAAAATATGACATCTAAAGATATGTAGTAACACGAATAAAAAGAATTTAATTCACATTTGTTAAGCAAGAACCTGATATTAAGAGTTGGATGAACACATACCAGTATACCCGATCATCTTCCTCAAAAACAGCCACTTGCACATCTTCTTCATTTATCGGAACACCTTAATAACAGACAAACAGTAATTTATCACTCATTCTAAAAAGTTTCTTTCTTTCTTTCTTTCTTTTTTTAAGGCACAATGAAAAAATTTACAAGTATCGACTTTAGTACCTTGCATTCTTGACTCAAAATCTAGCTCAGTTTTCTGCTCAGATTGTATCACCCTAAGTAGAGGAAGAACATTGGATAGCAAATAAAGAGATCTTTGTAGTCTGATACTCTCATCAGCTTTTATTTGGCAGCTCTATAAGAGAAGCAAATGACAAGAAAGCATGTGAGCTCAACTGACGACATGGGATCAGGAAAATAAAAAAAAAAAGGATAAGAATAAAACGTACGAACCTGCAAAATCACATCCGCTTGAAGGCAAGCTCTGCAGTTACAGTTCCCACAGCAAAACGGGCATGATTTTTTAACTTCTTCTTTTGTTCTCTTAGGATACCTATAGTTTTCACAACATTTCGGATCTTAGATGCATATACTTATTAAATATTATAAGGAGAAGTCACAGAGCTTCAGAACAGAGTCTGCAGTATGTAATAGGTCAAGTTCTTACAAATATCGAAATCAATGTTAATAAAATAATATTAAAAAAAAACATGTGCATAAAACAAAAAATGAAAGATCTTGACACCAACAAAGGAAATTTATCGAGCTAAAAGAAGAAGTGTAAAGTAACTAGCTTCTTCATTTACCACTTTCTAATGCACTTGGAGCAGTAGCGTTTTCGTTTGCAATTTGAGCAGATAACAATACCATCTTTGTTACTCTTCATGCATTGGTGGCACATCAAACCCCGCTGATCCTTTTTAATGGTGGAATCCTGCAGGAAAGTACAAATAAGTTGTGTTTTTTTAAACGTACAAGAAAGGACAACAACAACAATGCCCTTCACCAATTAGATGATTGGATTTAATTTTAGAAGAAAAAGGAAAGAGAAATCCAGACACCTCAAAGTCATTTTAATTTTACATCTAGAATAAAGAAATAAAATAAAAAATTATCCTCAGTGGAATAAGGTCTATTAGCAACGAACATTGTCCTGGAATGGTGTCTCATCTAGAATGATAAAACAGCTAAAATATCCTCAACTAAATCAACAAACCATTAACTATCTCAGTCAAATTAGACAGCAAAAGAAAAATATCAGCACTATAGATGTGTTAGATAAGCCAAAGTCCTAAAACACCAAAGGATGTTGCACTAAAACCAGTCAATGACACATGTCACCATTTTCATACTCCTATTTTCTCATTTTGGTCTGATTAAGGATGACCATCGACAATAGTTGGTAGCCATTACACAATTCATAAAACAAGATTTGTCCAAACATGCATTGTTTTGACACTATACTAGCTTCTTTTAACACAGAATACCGAAATTCTTGTAATATCATATAGGCTCAAGCACAAGTTACATAAAATTAAAAAGGAAAAAAAAAAAAAAAAAAAAAAAAAAAAAACTGACCAACATTCCCAAAGCTGACAACTTTGTCCTCTTCACGCAACCGTTTGGTACTTTCTCTCCGGACTCATCTACGTTCCTTTTCAGCCTCCCTCGAGCCCTATTTCGAGCCTGGTTATTATATTCACCCAACACCTCAGCAGAATCCTTCTTGAGCTTCTTGATCCCCTTTTGCTCTAAGTTTTCACCAGAAACATCAAACCCATCCTCCTTGGCAAATCCAACTTCATTTTTCACCCTTTTTTCCTTACCATCATTCCTCTTATCTCTCCCATTCACCACAGCCCCAAACGTAAAACCATCAGTATTATCAAGATTCTCTTTGATTATTTGGACATTCTTCATGCTTTTGGATCCATTAAGCCGTTCGCTGGGCACCTTTTTACAAGCTTTCAACCCCTTTTGACTAATTCGGCCATCGGTAAGCAACTGAATACCCCCATTTGAATTAAAGTTTGCACTTCTCTGCTTCGACTCAATGGCTGCTGCTAATACCATCTTTCTGGGCTTCCCACGCTGCTTAACCGTCTGAACAGGACAAGAACCTTTGACGATATCACCTTCTGCGCTTTGTCCATTTTCAGTCCTGTTTATCCTCTCTTTCTCTTTCTTGGAACCCTTTGGCCTCCCGACCATTGGGTCAAAATTGCCATTATCTCCACCCACCATTTTCTTCTTATTTTTTGAACCTTTCACAAAAATCCCATCTTTTCCTCTCCCATTCAGTTCCTCAAAAACAGTGTCTTCGATTCCCCCCTCGATTTCAACAACACGTACCAATGTTCCGACCTGCATTTCTTCCTGGGGCCCGCTCAAAACGCCGGTTTTTGGCTTATTTTTTGAACCCTTCGGCCTCCCCCTCCTTTCAACCCTAACACCATTGCTTGTTTCGATAGCCCCAGTTTTCAGCTTGTTTTTCGAACCCTTTGGCCTCCCTCTCCTTTCAATCCTAATTACACCATCTTTTTTTTCGACAAGCAAAATTTTCGGCTTATTTTTCGAACCTTTCGGCCTGCCCCTCCTCTCTATCCTGACCGGAGCATCGTTTTCCCCAGCAGCAAGTACCACTTTCCCATTGTTGTTCAAACCCTTTGGCGTCCTGCCTCTCTTCTTCGCGCCCCCACAACCTCCATCAAAATCCAAGGCGCAAATTTCCACAACCTCGCCGCGCTTCCCCTCACAGCCGCCGTCAGACAAAAGCTCGCCTCCACCGTTTTCTCCATTTTCAATTTCCTCCGACCGTTCTTCCGCTCTCCCGACCCCACGAGCCGACAAATAGTGTTCCTCACACAGGGTCTTCCCGCTCACGGCCGCCAAATTGCACCTCCACCTCCCGCCGGCGCTGAGCTTCTCGCATTTCCGCCCAGCATCTCCGCCGACAGAAACACCACAAGCCACCGCCACCGCCCCCGCCCCCGCCGCCATAAATCTCAGCAAAATGAACAAAAAAAACCCTAGCCCACCAGGAAAANTTTCAAAAGGAGCAGCAAAAGTTCAGCATAAGTGCCTCCTCCTACTTACCCATTAATCGGCGCAAGATTAAATGCTTGCCTCCACTAAATGACTGTAACCAAATTGGCTGCCGTTTATAGCCATAGCTAGGATTGAATAAAATAAAAGGACACTGTTACACAGTCGTATTTTGTGAATAAATGGCGGATTACGAATTTTCTGACCTTTTTTTTTTCTCTGATTTTTGTGTCAGCACACGGGAAAAAAAGATTCGGTTGTCTGGTTTTTCATGGGATGCGACTTGCGAGTACGGACGCCGGCAGTCTTTTTCCTGCGGTTTTGTACAGTGCGGAGGTTTTGTGGAGGAAAGTACGAGTTTAGTTGGAATAGGATGGAACTGGAGAGGGAGGAACCGGAGAGGAGTATAAATGAGAAGAAGATATTTTATTAGAATTTACTAGTGCGTATCCCGTGCAATGCACGAGTATATAAATTTAGAGAATACTATAATTTGACATGCATTAGATATATGAGAGTTTAATACATACGAACATTATTCATCATAAAATGTTCGTCACGAAAAAAATTTATATTATTAAAAACCTATGTACACAACATTATGTGTTTGATTATTGGGTAACTCATTGTAAGGAGCAGGGCCGACTCGGGCAGGACGCGGGCTAAACAAAGGGTTGCGGAAATTGGGTCTCACTCAACTGGGCTCCCTTGCTGGGCTTCTCTCTTGGGCTGCGAATTCTGATTGTTCTCGTCGAAAAAATTGCCCTCACACTTGGACTACTTTTCTAATTTCCAACTGTATTATAAATTATATTTTATTCCTACTTTAACTTTTTCATTCCTATTCTACGTAAACAGTTATTATATATTCTCAGTTATACTAATAAAGTATATTTTTATTTTGAATCATATAACTTCCTTAATAGTGAGTTGAATAATTTATAGATTGAAATATAATTTAATGATTCCCTCTCTTCTCTCTTCCTTTTTCATAATTCATATTTCACAGTTTTCTCCAAATAAAATAAAAAATTACATACAACAATTATTAGGTTGACCACAAATAAATCAAAATAAGACCGTAAATAAACGTAAACTTTTCTTTAATAATTTATGTATATTTTTTTTAAATGTTAATTGCAATGTTTCATGTTCGACACAAAATTAGTTTGTTTTTTTTTTTATTAATTTTTTATGAATATGCTATCAATCTTAATTTTTGTTCAAAGTTATCCATGATATGTGTTTTAGAGATATAAAAAATGACCTTTTCTGTAGTAACTAACCACCAAATTTAAGGGCATGATTGTTCATAAAATATTTTATTCAAAATATTTCATTTTGGTTAACTATGGTTAAAGTTGAAAAAGTAGTGGGGTTAATTATTAGTGGGATTTAAAAAATATATTAAAATAATATTTAAAATAAAATGATTAAAATTGATTTGTCATAAAGTAAGAGAAAAATGATTAGAAATTATTGATTGTGTAAAATTATGTGAGTGGATGAATAGTGAATTAAAGTTGATGTGATGTGTAAGAATGATTGGTTTGTATTATTTAATTATATGAATAATATTAAAGATAGTGGAGTTGAGTTAAAGTTAAGTTAAAAAAAAATAAAAGAAAAAGAAGTTGCCATTAATAGAAAACAATTAATGAAGAGAGGTTTGACCAATATTTAAATTGCCATTTTTGAAAAATGGTAATTCTTTTTATATAGATATATAGATTTATTTTGTTTGGAATTCCCCGAATTTACTCAACCGCATATCCAGTGCACGGGGATCGAGATTCCAGGTTCATACTTCATAGTATTGTTGGGAAAATGGGG